GAACAATACATAAGGTATCATGAGAAATAAGTTTGAAATTCTGCCATTGTTCACAAGAATAAGTTGTTAGACATCATTACATTACATGCCATTGCACTTACCTAATAAACTGAATATGAAAAAGGCACAATTAGGCACGTTTTCCACTGCTGGGATTGCTCTTCGTGCAGAGGACCTTCCGCCCCTTAGCACGTTGGCGCTTCATCATTGCTCTCTCGCCAGTTGTTCTCACGCGCCTACAGAATCCATGAGTTCGAGCCAAGGATTTCCTGGACCTATTTCTCTTGGTTAATACAGGGCAGCCTTCCCAGTCCTCACCACTAAGCCACAACCTCTTCTTCTTCCAACCTCCACACTAGAGCTCGAATCCAAACCCAAAGATAAACCTTCAAATCAAAAACCAAGTTCTAATCAATTCAAGGCTTGACTAGCTCTTTAGCTTAATTTTCAAAAACCAAAAAAGATGCCAACTTGTTTCATTACCATGGAAGTATCGACATCCTACTGATAAAGAACTCGCATTTCTCTAAACAACACATATCAAGTACCTAGCTAAACCAATTCTATCTCCAATTCACTATGCTGTAAAGCATCTTGTGATTGGTAATCGAAGTACTTACATTGCAAAAACTACGGAAATCGTAAGCAAGAAATTTACTTTTATGAAGCTAGAGTACCTAACAAGACAAAAAACTGAGTAAAATTCAAGTAAACAGTTGAATGTGAAATGTACAACCTATTAGATTATCAAATTCAACCCAAATGAATCAACAAAAATAAAACACACCAAAATTTAAGTCACAAAAACCCTACATTTCAACCTAGAGACAAATTTCAATGAAAAAGCATAAATTCACCATCTTAGGAAAAAAAGAACAAACACCCATTTCCCAAAATCACCCAAAAAAAAAACAATAATAATACTTCAACCATCCATTTTTTTATCCAGAGTAATAGTAAAACAATTGAAGGTAAATTACCAGAGAAGGCAGAAGTGGAAGCGAAAGAGGAGGAAGAGATGAAGGAGCAGTGAAGCAACGGGGAATGAGCGGCGGCGCCACCGCTGAGAGACATGGAGCTCTTCCTAATTGTGGAGCTGATGAGGAATGTGAGAGAAGCACAGTGTCACATCCCAGGCTCGACTCTGCCGTAGCACGATATTGTTCGCTTTGGACCCTGACCACGCCCTCACAGTTTTGTTTCTGGGAACTCATGCGATCAGAACTTCCCAGTGGGTCACCCATCCTTGGAATGCTCTCGCCTAAACACGCCTAACTTCAGAGTTCCGATGAACTCCGAAGCCAATGAGCTCCCAAAATGCCTCGTGCTAGGTAGAGATGAAAATATACATATAAGGCGTAGAGGATACACTCCCTTGGGCGATGTGGGATATAACACACAGGGTGTGAAGGCTAGAGTGGAAAGGTACGGCGACCACGCTGCTGAAATTGAAGCCATTATTCCTTTTGCCTTCTTCTGCATACGGTCAGTTTTTGGTCCATATTTAATCAATATTTGATCATATCATATATTGACAACGTATCAAGTACTGTAAACTTACATTATTTTTTCTTGAACGCATCATGATTTATCAATTTTGTAGTATGTATAGAAATTAATGTTGTGTTATATACTGTAGGCTCTTGCTGGGCATTCTCTACAGTGGTAGATTTGGAAGGAATTGCCCAAATTAGAATAGGTCAGTTGATCTCACTGTCTGAACAGTAACATGGGAACTGTAGCATATTTTATGGAAACAAGAGTTGCTGTAGTGGTTATATGGAGTCTGACTTGAAATACATACTAGGATGTCGAGAAGTAGCAAGCGAAGCAAAAAACCTGTACCAAGCTACTGAGTGAAGATGTGATACTAACAACTCAAACTGGCATGCTGCTAGTGCCTAGATTACTAGTAACAAATAGTGCCCCGCAACAATAAAAGCTATCTAATCAAGGTTGTGTCCATGCAACCAGTTTCAATTGGCATTCATGTCACCTGGCCGGACTTTAGGTTTTACAAAAACGAGGTATTCACGGCCATAGAAGGTTGTGGGAAAGTCCCAAACCACGGTGTAACACCCACCCCATTTATAAAAATATAATTGTGTAATTACCCCTAAATATTTTGAATCTTTCAATTTAGTCCTATTTTATCTACCAATCAGAAATTAAAACATTGGATTCTTTTCTTCCTCAAGCTGCCACGTGGCAGCACCCTAAGCAATTTCTCATTCTTCTCTTTCTGACCCCCCCCGTGAACGCATCATCTTCTTCTTCTTTTCTATCTTTCCCGTCTCTCCCTCTCGAATCTCTCTCTTCTCTCCCTCTCTTCACTAAATCGCACACACACCCACACGCAGAGGCTCACTCGCACTCGAGGAAGACCATCGTCATCATTCCTCATCCTTCTCTCTCTCTTTCCCGTGTTGTGAACCCAGAAACCCTGAAAGGAACTCCGACGAGATTTTCCATTTCTTCAGTTAGGTAAGCCTCAAATCTTTCCTTTTTCATCCTAGAATCTTAATGGAATGTGGTTTAATTGTGTTTTATGCGTGATTTTGGAGGTTTTAGGACGAAATCGAACTTGAGTGTAGACACACCCATCTCCGGTGAACCGTGGGTGTCGGGGGAGATTCCGGCCATCTACGGCCATTTCAAGGTGAAAGGAAGGTATAGAATCAATCCCCTCGTCTTGTGCTTTCATTTGGTACCTAGATCGAGGTCTAATACCCCTGTTTGCAGTCAGTCGAAGCTGTAGAAGCTCCAGCGTTGTTCTCCAGTGCGCTAGGCCGTGCAGGCCGGTTCTAAGGCTGTGGTGAGGCTAGCCCAAAACCCTAACCCATTTCCTTTTTAATTTTAGTTTTAATTGTTTTAGGACCCCAAAGGCCTTCGGGCCGTTAAGTTTAGGGTTTGAGGCCCGTTGACCCAATCCAAAACCTTTTTAGGTTTTGTTATTTTCTATTTTAGGAAGTAAGGCCTTAGGGGCAACCCAAAACCCTTAAGGCCCATTCGGCCCAACCCAATCCAAAGCCCCAGTCTGACTTTGACCAGTTGACTCGGTCAACTGGCAGAGTTGACTTTGACTTTGACTTTGACCGATCAACAGTCAACATTGACTTTTTGAGTTGACTTTTCGGGGTTTCGTTCAAGACATTTCCTAGGCTAATTTCGATGTTCTGGACCCGTTTTTTAAGTCTGTTTTCCCAAATTCAATCATTTAAATAGAGTTTGACTAAAGGTACTCCTTTATGTGAATAGGTGCAATTATTAATGGTGATTTCATTATACCTTTTTGGTACAACTTTGCACCATCGGTGTACGGTGAGTGGACCCCTTCAAAATCATGTTTTAATAATAAAAATGCATACATGAAAAGCATGATTTAATAATTATGTTTTATGAAGTACTTTGTGAGATAACATGCTTACTGAGGCTAGATTAAATTACTACTATTTTTCATATAACCCATGTTCTTATAGAATATCCGATGGATGGCGATATGATATTTAGAACATATTTAGAACACCTCTTTATAGTATAGATGATGGATGACTTTATACTATGGAGTTGTTTTTCAATATAGATATGTTTAATGGTTTTGTACTTACCTAGTGATCCTTTCTGCTACGCGACGTAGGGATAGATTCTGGTCCGTCCCGGGCGACGGTTTGGTGTCGGCATAGGGCCTGGAGTGTGTTTCCTTTGGCTATTTAGCACAGGGATGGGGAGCCGGCATGGGGCCTGAAGTGTATTTTCCTCTGACTATCTGCTCAGAGACGGGGATCTGGCATGGGACCTGGAGGTTATCGAACAAATCATTAGTGTTTATTACTTATACAAGTTATGAATTTGAAATACTGCACATCATGTTAGGTTTTGGAAAACCTATGTTTTTCACTATATATGTGTTTTCATAAACCTGGGGGTTAGTATGTTGATAACTGTTTTATTATATTTATATCAAATTGGTCCACTCATATTTGTTTTGTACCCCCTTCAGGACCTACGAACGGGGATTACGATTTAAGCTACGAGGCATTTCCCTACGAGTGTTTCAGTGCTATATTTCCTCTGCTTCGACATCTATTGTAATATAGCACATCTCTATCTTAAATTCTGTTTGTACTTTGTAATAGACGTATGCTCTGAGCTTGTGTGTATGACCATAATTTTATAAATTAGGAGTTGAACTTTAGTATTGTGTTGCTAGTTGCTGATGCCTGTTTTAGCTTATTTCTGAGCTTTTACTTAAATTAAATGGCTTTCGTCACCCTTCGGGTGTCGGCCAGCACGTGACCATCCCGATGTCCCGAGAACATCAGGATCGGGGCGTGTCACACGGTGTCACCATCGTTGGCTACATGAGAATTCTCAAGAGATGTTGGTCCTCCTAGAGGTCTTTTTGGTCCTGCCACAATGGCTTCCTACCCGATTGTAGACTGATCTTATCGGCTTCCCTATGCAAGCTATAATTAAGTGTGTAGATTTAATTTTCTTCTTAATATTGAAAAATGTTAGTTGATAAAAAGTGCTTGTATTTTGTATCTGATTGGCAAAACTAAAGACGACATTATTTTTTTTAAAGAATATAATTAAGTGCATAGATTTAATTTTCTACTCATTTTAGGTATGGAATTTTATCTCAAAATACCTCAATTCTCTAGACTTTATTTAGAATTTCATATTGTTCTTGCACTTGATGAAGCTGAAACTGGATATACGTTAGAGCACTTTTTATCAATTTGTTTAGCTTTAAAATAATATAGAAGATCTGCAAACCTCAAGACAATTTGTTTTGAAAAGGACACTTAATTACGTCTTGAACACTATGACTGCTAGTTTGGCAACTATGAGTTGGAGGGCCACTGCATTGGCTTACAATTGTTAGTACTTCAACTTCAAAAATCAACATCACAGACTGGATGTTACAACCACACCCACTTTCTACTTATTAAAATGATTTCTTTAGTCTTTAATTAGTGAGTCGTGGGACCCGCCTTATTTTTATACTTCTATCATGGTTCCGGTCTCTCTTTCCCCTCTAATATCTGAATCAACTATCTCTCTCTAACTCTCAGGAACTCACATTATCTCTAAGCTCCGAGAGCTTCTCTCTAGCTTTCACCTCACTCCCCTTACAAATCAAACCCCAAAAACCATATATTTGGAATCCTTGAGACCTAACGAACTCAATGGTACCCTTGCATGCGCCATCTGAGCACCGTGGGCTTTTCTGCCATTGAAGCCGAGAGCTTCAAAGCTCTAACGCGCGAACCCAGGTGAGGATTGTGTTCCTTCTTCAAATTTCTGGGTTATGCATGTTGGTTTTATGACAAAACTCAAGGGTTTTGATCTCAGTTTTTCTCTGTGCTAATAATCTAGCTCCGACGACGAACTCTGACGAGTTCGAGGTCCATCTCTTCCCAAAACCTGCTGCAGTGCGTCCAGGTGAGTTCTTAGGTATATTTGTGATGTTTTAGAACCCCTTATTCAAGCCCTAACTCTTACCATCCCTTGTGCATGCATGTCCGGTTCCGACGACGAACTCCGGCGAGTTCGTGAGTGTGCGTTTGTGCAGTGTGTACGTTGTGCAAGTGTGTGTGTGCGTGAACCGTGTGTGTGTGTGTGTAAGTATGCTTGCTGTGCGTGTGTGTGTTTATATGTATGTATCTATATATATATATATATATATATATATATATGCATGTTGCCTCTGTGTGTATATTTGTATATATATATGTGTGCATGCGTGGGAGTGTGTGTGTGTTTATATATTGTGTGTATATATATATATATGTGTGTGTGTGAATGTGTGGTGTGTGTACCGTGTGTGTATAAGTTTGGGTTTAGGCTTAAGCCCAAAACTCCCTCTTGTTCCTAACCTACCCAAACCCAAAACCCATTTCCATTTCCTAAAATTCTATCTTTCGGGTAGTTTATTAAATTGTACATTTTCGTGCTTAGGTGAAGTTGCTAGTGGAGACTTCCTTAATCTTTTTCCACACAATTCTGCTGCTTCGGAGTATCTGTGAGTGGACCACCTTCGAAAATTGCATGTTTTATTGATAGAAATGCATAATTTAATAGCATGCCTTGCAGAATTATTGATTTGAGAAATACTTTACAGGAAGCATGATGATTTGATTATACGTGATTATATATATATGTTTTGAACTATTTCCATTATATCGTATTTTCTATAGAACCCTCATTCTGGTAGACTATCTGATCGATGACGATAGGATGCTAAGAATGTGTTTCAAATGACTTTCGAACACCTCTTCGTAGTATAAAGGATCGATGAATTTATGCTACAAAGTTGTATTTTAGAGGTGAATTATGTTTTGTGCATACCTAGTGAACACTATGCCGCCTGGGGCGAGGATCTGGTGTTGGCATTGAGGCCGGGAGAAATAATCCCTAGCGAAAGGCTGAGGGACACGGAGACAGGCATTGGGCCGGGAGGGAGATATCTCTGGCTACGGGCACAGAGACTGAGGTGCAGGCATTGGGCCGGGAGTATTGTTATTCAGTGCACTCACTAGCAGCACAACTTGTACTATGCTTCCTGATATGATTGCTGAGATAAATTTTGATATGATTTTCTGAGATTGATTTGCAGAAAGATATATGAATTGTTTTATGGCATGCTAAGGGTTTCTGAAAAGCTTATCACTTATTATTCTAGTAGTTTTCATTATTAAACTGTGGGGGTTAGTATGTTCATAACTGTTTTCGTACTACGTATGTATATAAACTTGGTCCACTCACCCTTGTTTTGCGCCCCCATTCAGGTCTTAGGAACGAGGACTACGAGGCATCATACGAGGCATTCCCCTACCAGTAGCAGTCTATTTTCCACTTGTGTAATATTTGTAATGATCTTTCCCTTTCATGATCTTGACTTCGAACGTGTTTTGCGCACTCTAGATATTTCCCTAAACTTTGTTTGTAACTCCCTTTGGATTCAGATATTTAATCGTGCGTGTTTCTCCTAATCATTTCTCTTGTACTTCAATAAATGGCTTTCGTCACCTCAGGTGTCGGCCAGCACGTGCCTATCCTGATATTCGGGGAATATCGGGGTCGGGGCGTGTCAGATTGGTATCAGAGCATGGTTAGGATTTCTTTTCACCAATTTGGTAAATTTAGGTCTTTCTAAATCTTGTTGTCTTTGTCAGAATCATGGCTAATCCTGGTGGGAATGTGCCTCGACGACCTCGTTCTTCTATAATGGGAGGACTTCAGCAGTTTACTAATGCTTTGATCAATGCTCTTCCGGGTCATAGGCCCAATCGGACGTATATCGAAATTGCTAGAAGCCATGGAGTTACTGATTTGGAAACTGTGGGAAATGGTGAGGAGGCTGAGCAGTGGTTAGAAAAGATGGAGGATACCTTGGAGGTTATGAAATGTCCACTAAATGAATGGGCAAACACAGCAGCGTATTTTATTCAGGGTGATGCTAGAAGTTGGTGGAGAACAACGAGGGAATCTCGTCCGCCTGGTTCTTTGATGACATGGGCTGCCTTCCGGAAACGTTTTATTGCTTACTTTCTAAGCCCCAGTTACAGATTGAGGAAAAGGCAAGAGTACTTAGAGTTCCGACAGGGTGACCTCAGTATCACAGAATTTGATAGTACTTTCAGGCGTTTGGCCAGGCATTATGATGGGACATATGATAATCCGCAGGCACAGATGGATCAGGCGATGTTTGCACTGAACCAGGAGTACCGTACACTGGTAGCTGCTCAGAGACCCAAAACTTATGAGGAAATAATTGAAATAAGCCTGAGTATAGAACAGTCCAAGTGGGATACTGAGATACAGGATCGACCTCAGGCTTGGAGCCAGCCTCAGAGACAGAATTGACCGCGGAATCAGAATCAGAGGAGTCGAAATTTCCGGTCACAGAATATTAGAGAATCAGCGAGCCCCTCCAGTTCTGTAGGTCTCAGCCAACCATTTTCTTTTAAACGGTCAGGTCGGGGCTCAGGATCGTCCAGTGAAAGCTCAGGCACTGAGTCGGCGAGACGACCTTTCAGTCATTTCACTCCGAGTTACCCGGTCTGTGATCGATGTGGGTTACGTCATCGAGGGAACTGTGGGATGACTACTGCAGTTTGTCACAAGTGCGGTGGCACTGGCCATTTTATTCGTGATTGTCCTTCTGCACCACCACCTGGAGATGTTGCTTCCGGATCAGGCTACAGTGGATATCAGACAGTTCAGAATTTTGGCAATCGACGGAACTTTGATGGCGGTAGCAGTAGTAGTCGGAGCCTTGGTAGCAGCACTAATCAGAACTATGGGGGTAACCGAAGTCTACAGTTTGGTGGCAGAGGTAGTCAAAGTTTCAGAGGTACTGATAGCCGGAGTACTCAGTTTTTGAACCAGCAGCAGGCTGGAACATCCTCTGGTAACCGTAGCCAGGGGAACAGAGTTGGTGGCAGTCACAGAGGCCGTGGTGGTCGAAACAATAATGCAGGGCAACAAGTATACGGACGTATAAACGCCATGACTCAGCAGGAGGCCGATCAGGATCCTCGAGTTATCACCGGTATGTTACCTATCTGTAATACTTGGGCTAGAGTTTTAATTGATCCGGGTGCTACACGATCTTTTGTTTCTTCATCTTTTGCTCGGGTTATACCATTTCAACCTCAACCATTAGGCTTTGATATGTTGATTCAAATGCCACGTGGTGAATTGTTTTGTGCTCAATGGCAATATCAGAATTGTTCAGTTTTTGTGGAAGGGGAAAACTTAGAGGTTGATTTAATTCCTTTCAAACTGGCGGAGTTTGATGTCATTCTAGGAATGGATTGGCTGTCTAAGCATCGAGCGAATGTCGCATGTTGGGAGAAAATTGTGACATTCAATCGACCAGGACTTCCGTCAATTTCATTTATGGGTGAGCGACGTGTCCTCCCCAATAGTATTATTTCTTCCATTCAAGCAACTAAGTTGTTGAGTAAGGGTTGTACGGGGTTTCTAGCCCATGTAGTCGTGAATGATGAATCTTCTTTACGTCCTGAAGATGTGCCAGTTGTAAGGGACTTCACCGATGTGTTTCCTGATGATTTACCGGGGTTACCACCTGCGAGGGAAATTGAGTTCACTATCGATTTACTTCCAGGTATAAATCCTATTTCATTGGCACCTTACCGAATGGCACCAGCGGAGTTGAGAGAATTGAAGATCCAACTTCAGGAATTGGTAGAGAAAAAGGTTACATCCAGCCGAGTACATCCCCGTGGGGGAGCTCCGGTTCTTTTTGTTAGAAAGAAGGATGGATCAATGAGACTCTGTATCGATTATAGGCAACTGAATCAGGTGACGGTGAAGAATCGTTACCCTCTGCCTCGGATCGATGATTTGTTTGATCAATTGAAAGGTGCTCAGATATTTTCCAAAATTGACCTTCGATCGGGTTACCATCAATTGAGGATTCGCGAGGATGATGTCCCGAAAACTGCTTTCCGTACAAGGTATGGGCACTATGAATTTTGTGTCATGCCGTTTGGATTGACAAATGCACCTGCAGCATTCATGAATTTGATGAACAGAGTTTTTGAATCGTATCTAGATAGGTTTGTGATTGTGTTCATTGATGACATTCTAGTTTATTCTAGGAGCGTTAATGAACACAAGAAACATTTGAGAATAGTGCTCGAACGACTGAGGGACAACCAGCTTTATGCCAAGTTCAGTAAGTGTCAGTTTTGGTTAACTCAGGTTGGTTTTCTTGGGCATATAGTTTCTGCAGAAGGAATTAGTGTAGATCCTCAGAAGGTGTCAGCAGTATCTAACTGGGAACAACCAAAGAATGTCACAGAAGTGAGAAGTTTTCTGGGTTTGGCAGGGTATTATCGAAGATTTATTCAGAATTTTTCTGCAATTGCTCTGCCTCTTACTAAATTAACTCGTAAAGGTGTCCAGTTTGTGTGGGATGAGAGTTGTGAACAGAGTTTTCAGGAACTTAAGCGACGTCTCACTCAAGCTCCTGTTCTCGCCCTTCCAGATGACAGTGGTGAATTTGAGGTGTACACTGATGCTTCTCTATCAGGTTTTGGGTGTGTACTGATGCAGCATGGAAAAGTTATTGCCTACGCTTCCAGACAACTCAAAACCCATGAAAGAAATTATCCTACTCATGATTTGGAGTTAGGAGCAGTGATTTTCGCTTTGAAGATTTGGAGGCACTACTTGTATGGAGAAAAATGTCGTATTTTTACGGATCATAAAAGTCTTAAGTATGTGTTCACCAAGAAGGAGCTGAACTTGAGACAGAGAAGATGGATGGAGCTTATCAGTGATTATGACTGTTCGATTGAGTACCATCCTGGACATGCTAATGCCGTAGCTGATGCTCTTAGTAGGAAACACCATGAGCAGCTTGCATCACTTCAAAATGTGCATATTCCGTTACTATTCTCTCTTCGGGAAATCGGTGTCAATTTAGAAGCAGGTGATCATGGAGCTTGGCTAGCACATTTTCAGGTTAGACCTATCTTCGTGGACATGGTCATAGAAGCTCAGGAACTTGATCCAGAATGCGATGAAATAAAGGCACAAGTGCTGAAAGGGGATAAGGATGAATTCATCATCCGTAGAGACGGAGCGTTATTGAAAGGGAACCGTTTGTTCGTGCCTAAAGATAATGAAGCAGTTAAGAAGGAAATTCTTGACGAGGCTCATACTTCAGCTTATGCTATGCATCCAGGGAGTACTAAATTGTATCGCACCATTTATCCTTTCTATTATTGGGAAGGGATGAAACGGGATGTAGCAAAGTATGTGAACAGATGTCTAATCTGTCAGCAGGTTAAAGCAGACAGACAGAGACCTGGGGGACTGATGCAGAATCTTCCAATACCAGTTTGGAAGTGGGAGGATATTACTATGGACTTTGTGTATGGATTGCCGAGAACACCGTCAAAGTGCGATGGTATCTGGGTAATTGTTGATCGACTTACCAAGACTGCTCATTTCTTACCAGTTCGACAGACCTACTCACTAGAGAAATTGGCGAAGTTATTTATTAATAATATTGTTCGTCTTCATGGTGTACCTGTCTCCATTGTGTCAGACAGAGATCCCAGATTTACTTCCAGGTTTTGGAAAGCCTTTAATGCCGCTATGGGTACTCAGTTACTGTTCAGCACTGCTTATCATCCACAAACTGATGGTCAGTCCGAGCGGACAATTCAGACTTTAGAGGACATGTTGAGAGTGTCGGTGTTACAGTGGAAAGGTAGCTGGGATAACTATTTGCCGTTGGTAGAGTTTGCTTACAATAATAGTTATCACTCGAGTATTGGTATGGCACCTTTTGAAGCACTCTACGGGAAGACGTATAGAACGCCGTTATGTTGGACAGAGGCAGGTGAAAGGTCGTTGGTGGGACCAGAGATTGTGGATACCACCAATGCTAATATTCAACTGATTAAGGCAAATTTGAAAGCAGCACAAGACCGACAGAAAAGCATTGCGGACAAACATTCCAAAGATCGTGAGTATGCAGTGGGCGACTTTGTGTTCTTGAAATTGTCTCCCTGGAAAGGTGTTGTTCGTTTTGGTAAACGAGGAAAGCTGAGCCCTCGATACATCGGTCCCTATCAGATTATTGAAAGAATTGGTGCAGTTGCTTATAGGTTGGAACTACCACCAGAGATGTCAATGATCCATAATGTCTTCCATGTTTCCATGCTCCGGAAATACGTACCAGATCCTTCTCATGTTATCCAACCAGAACCTCTGGAAGTGAGTCCAGACTTGAGTTATGTGGAGGAACCTGTGGCGATTGTTGATAGACAAGATAAAGTGTTGAGGAACAAGACCATTCCGCTAGTAAAAGTACTTTGGAGGAATCATGCATTTGAGGAGGCAACGTGGGAGACTGAAGAACAGATGCGGGCACAGTACCCATTCCTTTTCACTTGAGGTAATTGAATTTCGAGGACGAAATTTTCTTTAAGGGGGGTAGATTGTTACAACCACACCCACTTTCTACTTATTAAAATGATTTCTTTAGTCTTTAATTAGTGAGTCGTGGGACCCGCCTTATTTTTATACTTCTATCATGGTTCCGGTCTCTCTTTCCCCTCTAATATCTGAATCAACTATCTCTCTCTAACTCTCAGGAACTCACATTATCTCTAAGCTCCGAGAGCTTCTCTCTAGCTTTCACCTCACTCCCCTTACAAATCAAACCCCAAAAACCATATATTTGGAATCCTTGAGACCTAACGAACTCAATGGTACCCTTGCATGCGCCATCTGAGCACCGTGGGCTTTTCTGCCATTGAAGCCGAGAGCTTCAAAGCTCTAACGCGCGAACCCAGGTGAGGATTGTGTTCCTTCTTCAAATTTCTGGGTTATGCATGTTGGTTTTATGACAAAACTCAAGGGTTTTGATCTCAGTTTTTCTCTGTGCTAATAATCTAGCTCCGACGACGAACTCTGACGAGTTCGAGGTCCATCTCTTCCCAAAACCTGCTGCAGTGCGTCCAGGTGAGTTCTTAGGTATATTTGTGATGTTTTAGAACCCCTTATTCAAGCCCTAACTCTTACCATCCCTTGTGCATGCATGTCCGGTTCCGACGACGAACTCCGGCGAGTTCGTGAGTGTGCGTTTGTGCAGTGTGTACGTTGTGCAAGTGTGTGTGCGTGAACCGTGTGTGTGTGTGTGTAAGTATGCTTGCTGTGCGTGTGTGTGTTTATATGTATGTATCTATATATATATATATATATATATATGCATGTTGCCTCTGTGTGTATATTTGTATATATATATGTGTGCATGCGTGGGAGTGTGTGTGTGTTTATATATGTGTGTATATATATATATATGTGTGTGTGAATGTGTGGTGTGTGTACCGTGTGTGTATAAGTTTGGGTTTAGGCTTAAGCCCAAAACTCCCTCTTGTTCCTAACCTACCCAAACCCAAAACCCATTTCCATTTCCTAAAATTCTATCTTTCGGGTAGTTTATTAAATTGTACATTTTCGTGCTTAGGTGAAGTTGCTAGTGGAGACTTCCTTAATCTTTTTCCACACAATTCTGCTGCTTCGGAGTATCTGTGAGTGGACCACCTTCGAAAATTGCATGTTTTATTGATAGAAATGCATAATTTAATAGCATGCCTTGCAGAATTATTGATTTGAGAAATACTTTACAGGAAGCATGATGATTTGATTATACGTGATTATATATATATGTTTTGAACTATTTCCATTATATCGTATTTTCTATAGAACCCTCATTCTGGTAGACTATCTGATCGATGACGATAGGATGCTAAGAATGTGTTTCAAATGACTTTCGAACACCTCTTCGTAGTATAAAGGATCGATGAATTTTATGCTACAAAGTTGTATTTTAGAGGTGAATTATGTTTTGTGCATACCTAGTGAACACTATGCCGCCTGGGGCGAGGATCTGGTGTTGGCATTGAGGCCGGGAGAAATAATCCCTAGCGAAAAGGCTGAGGGACACGGAGACAGGCATTGGGCCGGGAGGGAGATATCTCTGGCTACGGGCACAGAGACTGAGGTGCAGGCATTGGGCCGGGAGTATTGTTATTCAGTGCACTCACTAGCAGCACAACTTGTACTATGCTTCCTGATATGATTGCTGAGATAAATTTTGATATGATTTTCTGAGATTGATTTGCAGAAAGATATATGAATTGTTTTATGGCATGCTAAGGGTTTCTGAAAAGCTTATCACTTATTATTCTAGTAGTTTTCATTATTAAACTGTGGGGGTTAGTATGTTCATAACTGTTTTCGTACTACGTATGTATATAAACTTGGTCCACTCACCCTTGTTTTGCGCCCCCATTCAGGTCTTAGGAACGAGGACTACGAGGCATCATACGAGGCATTCCCCTACCAGTAGCAGTCTATTTTCCACTTGTGTAATATTTGTAATGATCTTTCCCTTTCGTGATCTTGACTTCGAACGTGTTTTGCGCACTCTAGATATTTCCCTAAACTTTGTTTGTAACTCCCTTTGGATTCAGATATTTAATCGTGCGTGTTTCTCCTAATCATTTCTCTTGTACTTCAATAAATGGCTTTCGTCACCTCAGGTGTCGGCCAGCACGTGCCTATCCTGATATTCGGGGAATATCGGGGTCGGGGCGTGTCACTGGAATGGAATTTTTACGTTCAAATTTGGCGAGCTGCCGGCAATTCCTTATGAACACGATACGCGGTTAAGGACTGCAGACTGTGAACCTTTTAGTCATCAGTACCATTCATGGTGACTAAAAGCCAAAGGGCAGAAACTCCAGCAAATAGACAAGGACCTGTTGTCATCAGATCAATAGACAACCCTTGATTTATCGATTGATTGAGTCATTCGAACTTCTTTGTGTGGAAACTCCCCGGAGAAAACAAAACAAGAATCGCACTCAGGCCAGACTGAATGATAATAAGTTAACTGTGGTCATCAACTTGAGAAATATTCCTGGAAATTTGGCTTCAACAATGAATTTTCATACCCCGCTTGCTTACTCTACATTAAATTCATAACCACAGCTGCAGCGGCGGCTTGATGGAATATGCCTTTTAATAGATAAAGCAACACAGAGGCGCAAGGACATATCATGTAATACAGAGTGTCTACCAGTATCGCCAACAAAATCCGATCCAATGCAAAACCACATATCATGTAATACGGTGTGTACCTAAACCAGCAAATAACTAAGGAGATGAACGCGAGTGCTAGAAGTTAAACTACTAAAAGTAGAAAGAAAGGACAATGAAACTCAATTGTGTTCTTTCCTGCATTTGATTTCCTCTTGTCATATATTGCAGACCATTTCATATCCTGCTTACTCTTGACTGCTTAGACTAATATTTGTTTATGCATATCTGTGCCCTGTTAGCTTAATTGTCTAAAAGTTACTTTGTTGCAGTATTTTAATTTACAGAAATCGAGTGATATTTGAGTATGTGCATACATTTTATGTAAACCTAGCCAGGTATGATAAAAGTTGACACGACGCATTTATCAAGTTTTATATCCAGAATTTGTAGTGAAAGCAATGAAGTTAGTGATTAGTGACCTAATACTAAAATTGTGTTTCATCACAGTGAAGCAGAAAGTGAGTCAATCCACTTATTTTTAAACCGGTTTTAAATTTTTCAATATATGGGCACCTTTCCATTTGTTGCCAAAGATTGTGCGTCATGTACAGAAAAGAATAAAGATAATCATCATCTTGATCAATACATATATATATATGAAAATTTTGTTCTTGGTTCTTCATATCTAGTAGCGATCACTCATTTAATTAAAGCCATTTCTCCCATAGCTCTGTTCAGCTTATAATTGTTATTAATGGCTTTGACACTTAAAATGGAAATCCCTAATTGCCTTGTTCATAATGTGTTAATGGCGACTTGGGCGTCTACAGCCTCATCCATCACGTTGAATGAAGCTTCAATTGCGAAGAAACATGAGCAATGGATGGCTGAGTATGGACGCATTTACGCAGCTAGTTTGGCAACTCTGAGTTGGAGGGCAACTGCATTGGCTTACCATTTTTAGTACTTGAACTTCAAAAATCAGCATCAAAGGCTGCAGTCCTTAACACGGTACGTATGTGGTTAAGGTCTGCAGACTGTAAAACTTGTAGTCATCACTACCATTCACGGCGACTAAAAGCCAAAGGGCAGAGACTCCGGCAAATGGACAAGGACCTGTAGTCATCAGATCAATAGACAACCCTCGATTCATCGATGGATTAAGTCATTCAAACATCTTTGTGTGGAAACTCCCAGTAGAAAACAAAACAAAAATCACATTCAGGCGAGACTGATTGATCAATTATGTAATGTATGCTTCCTATCCAATTATGTAATGTATTAATCAAAGGATGAAGTACTACCCATAAAACCCGTAGGCTGTGAAAATGCCTGTATATTGTACTTGCTTAAAATATGCTCAATGAAATTACACTAATAAGTTAAACTTTAGCAGACTCTAGACTGAAACCTTTACCTTGATATTCAACAAATTAATTTTCATACCCCGCTTACTTGGACCAAGTTCGCAACACAGCTGCAACAACGGTTCGATGGATTATGCCTATGAATAGATAAAGCAAAACATAGGAGCAAGTGATGACACTAAATTGGAAAACGAGGATGCTTCTCGGTAGTGGCAGATTCAGGATTTTAAACTCGGGGGGTCCCAATAATAAGGGTCAAAAAATTTAAAGATAAAAACAACATTGAAAATTTAAATATAATACATTTCATTCAAAAAATCATATGCAAAACAATATTACAAATTATAAAATCATAATTCAAGCGTCCATTACGATGTTTCATAAGTTACCAAGGAGTACCTAAGTTATTGATTATCTAATGTAGACCACTAAATTTAAAACACCAGTCAAATAAAACTCTCCCTAAACTCCCACTATCCTTCTAACCAAACACACCACTTTTCTCTTTTACTAGTTTCCAAACATCCACTTTCTCTCTCACTAAGAACGCAGCTGCCATACCTCCACCAACCACCTCCATCCCCATTCTCTCGAAGCCATGGCAGCTCCACCCCCAAATTTCACCAACCCATGACAAATAACCTTATGTAGGAAATTTCACCCATAAGAAAAATTACCAAGGTGGTTGAAATAATTTGGGGAAATTTGGGCTTCTGTACTGCCCCGCCAGACGACAGAGAAAGGTTGGAGGAGAAGTGGGTGGCACCGATGGATGAGACCATGGTAGAAGCAAGGAGGAGAGAGGCTGGAAGGGTCCCTATTTTCTTTCTTCTCCGTGCGTGGTCATCTTTTTCGATAAGTAGACAGCCACTGCAACCTGCAACTACATCCTGCACAAACCTCATGCTCGAGTACGTAGGGTCCCTGAAAAATTTCTAGCAACGATTTAGGATCGCTGATGGGTCTTGGGACCTCCCAGGTCCCTATGTGGATCCGTCCTTGCTTCTCGGATAACTGGTTATTTGCAGCAAACTGTTAGTTTGTTGGTTGATTAAGGTCTAAACTATCATTTCATTATTTGTAGCAAGTTGTTAGTTTGAGTAATTAGAGTTGTTAGTGATCAAGGGCTAAGATTAGATCAATTTGTAGTAGGCTCAAATGTGAGCAAGTTTCAAGATCTCATAGGGTTTTGTAATGAATGGTTGGATGAGCTCATAGGCTATCCTAGATTTTCTTCCTCTCTAACGGTTATGTAAATGCTAGTATGATGAAATGAACACATGAAGAAGAGCATTCCAGCTCTCTCTATCTTTTCACTATCTCTCTAAATCTTCTTTCTTTCTGTGCTAAATTGCTGCAAATACACCATTAAATAGTTCAGATTCTAACATGGTATCAAGCGCCTAGGTTCCTTTTCGAACTGGGCTTTGATTTCTATGAAATTGTGGGAGAGAATCCAACGAGAAAACTCTCAATTTCATTCTGATTCAAGCTGAAATGACTGGGTCTGGAAGCAGCGATTTACGAGCTCTCGTTTTTTATGGAATGGACTTCGAGTTCTGGAAGGTGAGAATTGTCACCATCGTATGGGATTTGGAAACTGGTAGACAAGGGGATTACTACTCTAGAATCAAAGAGGAAGGGAGAAAAGGGAAAAACAAAGAAGGAGGATGGCAAAGAAGATTCATCCGAGTCGGATGGTGTTGAAGGAGACGATGATGAGCTCAATGCACTAATTGCAACAGATTTGGACATGTAGTGAAGGATTGTCATCAGCCTAAGAAAACATATGTGGCCAACTATTTGAACCATGTTCAGAACAATACAAGGATGTTATATGCTTGCCATAAGGCCTATGTGCAAGAAAATAGTGGTGTTTGGCATCTGGACAGTGGTTGCAGCAACCACATGACTAGTACTGAATCATTGCTTATCAACATTGACATGAGTATAAGGTGTAAGGTGAAAATGGGCACATGGGACTTGGTTGATTCAATTGGGAAAGGGACTCTGGTAGTGGAGACTAAGAGAGGAACTAGGTATATACCAAAAGTCATGATCATACCTGATTTAGATGAGAACATTCTCAGTGTAGGCCAAATGGTAGAATATGGGTATTGGCTAGTATTTGGTGATTTCATGGCTTGCATATTTGGTGACAGGGAACTGCAAAACCATGTTGCAACTGTGCAAATGACGGGAAATAGATGTTTCCCTCTAATGTTTGAATCTGTGGATCACATTGTAGCAAATAAAGTAACTATTGAAAGAAATACATGGAAATGGCGCAGAAGATTTAGGCATCTAAACTATGACAGTTTGAGAATGCTGCAAGAAAGGTGCATGGTGTATGGTCTGCCTCACCTACAAGCAAGGAAGAAAAAATCAATAATATCGGCGATATTTCGCCGATATTATCGTTTTTTTGGAGGTCCGATATTTTTTTAAATATCCAAATGATTTTCATCAAAATATCGCGATATTATCGATAATATCGATAATATCGCAATATTTTCAAAATTATCGATAATATCGGGATATAATATTCAAAAAATACTTAAAAATGTTGAGAAATCTCAACACATACTACACTTGGTCATAGCCCAAAGGCCAACCAAGACATGCTTTTCTCAGATTTGGAATGTGGGTTTTATAAGCCTTCTTGCTTGCTCACTGCCCTCGCATGGGCGATGTGGGACTCGACCAAAGAAGAAATAGGAATTTCGGCCAGAAATCCACACCCACTTTAAACGGCCATAACTTTGTCAAAACTCAACAAAATCAAGCAAGACAAAAACAAAAGTTGTAGCCCTCGAAGAGACGAAGAGAATGGTACCTCACACGACGTCTGAATCGTCGTGGTTTGGCCGGAAAATGCCTCGAAAGTCACTGAGGTCGTCGGAAACTGGGTAAGATTCAAATGAGTATAACTTTTTCAATACTCAACGAAATTGAGTGAAACAAAAAGGAAAGTTGTACTACTCGACGAGACGAAGAGATTGATACCTTGCACGCCGGCCAACTCGCTGTGGTTTGGCCGGAAAACCAGTGTCAAATTCGGCACATTATTCTTCATCATTTTATTCACTTCCCTTTTTTTTTTTTAATATCCTAAATAAAACCTCCCAATATTGTACTAATTAATTATATATAAATGATTATGGTGTGTTTAAACTTCTTTCATTAACTACTACATATTTTCTACACTCACAATGTTTGCCAGCTCACTATATAATCAACTTAAATCAGTTAAATCCATCATGCAATGCATTTCCTTCCAATTTTTTGTGATAAACTAATAGATAATTGACTAAATAAACATCCTGCAAAGTTTCATTAAAAATTTCCAAGTTTTTCTTACAATTTCCGTGGTTTCCATGTAATTTTTATCGATATCGATATTATCCCAATATTTCCATCGATATTTCCGTGTTTTCGGACTACCGATATTTCCGATATTACCGATATTTTCTTCCTTGCCTACAAGAGCACAATCAGGTGTGTGAAGGGTGTTCCACTGGAAAGGCTCACAGAGAGGCCTTCAACAAAGAACAGAGAAGGAGGGCAACATTTCCACTAGAACTTGTACACACAGATGTGTGTGGACCTATGAGTGAGACTCTTAGTAGCAGCAGATACTTTCTTACCTTCATCGATGACAAGTCAAGAATGTGCTGGGTCTATTTCTTGCAGTATAAGTCTAAGGTATTCAGAATTTTAAAATGTTCAAGGCTATGGTTGAAATACAAAGTGGTCACAAGTTGAAGAAGCTCATAAGTGACAAGGGAGGAGAGTATACATATCTGGAATTTGAGAAGTTTTGTGAAGATGTTGGTATTGAAAAGTAACTCACTGTCGCTAATTCTCCCAAAAAAAAAATGGCATTGCTGAGAGGAAGAATCGTACCATTGTAGAGATGGCAAGAACCATGCTCTATGAAAAAAAAAGCTACCACTCAAGTTCTAGGGTGAAACAGTTCACATTGCTGTCTACCTACTTAATAGGTGTCCTACAAAAGTATTGGAAAACAAGACTCCCTTTGAAGAGTTTTGTGGTAGAAAACTAGGAGTAAAGCACTTGAGAATTTTTGGTTATGTGTGCTACACTCATGTGCCAACTTAGTTAAGGCAGAAACTGGATGAAACTGGATAGAAATGTGTATTTGTTGGATATGGGACAAGAGAGAAAGGCTATAGAGTTTATGATCTGAAAAGAAACAAGATCATTGTTTCCAGCAGTGTCAATTTTTATGAAGATGCAGTGCTCAATTAGGAGAATATGGAGACAGTGCACATCCCTCTGCCCTACTCAGAAGCTAATGAAGATGTAAGCATAACTGAGATTGAAAATGGTGTATGTGAGGAATCTAATATTGATTCTTCTAAGTCGAATTATTTAACCACAGGTGAAGAGTGTATTACTGGTGTGCACAGCAATGTTTCTAATGCTGTGAATATGGAGAGTGAGATCCAACTCACAGAAACTTATGACAATACACCAAAGAAGTGGAGAAACTTAAATGAAGTGTTTGCTCAGTGTAGACTCAGTGTCATTGACCCTGAGAACTACAATAAAGCCTTTCAAGATGAAGCTTGGAAGAAAGCAATGAATGATGAGATCACTATGATTGAGAAGAATGTACTTGGAAATTGGTTGATCGGCCAAGTCACAAACCAATTGTTGGAGTAAAGTGGATTTTCAAAACTACACTGAATCTGGATGGCACTATACAAAAACACAAGGCAAGATTAGTTGCCAAAGGGTACACTCAAAAGCCTGTGATTGATTTTAATGAGACTTTTGCACCTGTAGCTAGATTAGACACTATAAGGACTCTCATTGCTTTGGCAGCACAGAAAGGGTGTAAATTATTCCAGTTAGATGTAAAGTCTTATTTTCTGAATGGGATCCTTAAAGAAGAAGTGTATATAGATCAACCAAATGGGTATCTTGTCAAGGGAAAAGAACACAAGGTATACAAGCTAAAGAAAGCCTTGTATGGACTGAAGTAAGCTCCCAGAGCTTGCTATAGCAACATTGACACCTACTTGGTGCATTGTGGGTTTACAAAAAGTCCAAGTGAAGCATACGGAATGACAGGGAACTTTAATTGTTTCAATATACGCGGATGACATTGTTTGCACGGGAAGTTGTTCATAGATGATTGAAGATTTCCAATGCGACATGATAAGTAAGTATGAGATGACAAACTTAGGACTGTTGCATCATTTCCTGGGAATTGAAGTTATTCAACAAGAAATGAGCATATTCATTCATCAAAAGAAATATGCATTGAGTTTGATTAACAAGTTTGGATTGAAGAATTGCAAACCTATCTCAATCCCTCTACTTCCCACTGATAAGCTAAGGAAAAATGATGGGAGTGAGGCTGTAGATGAGGAATTGTATAGAAGAATTGTTGGCAGCCTTCTGTATTTGACTGCAACAATGCCTGATATCATGTACTCAGCATGTGTACTTACCAAGTACATGCACTGTCCATCCACTAAGCATCTTGGCACTGCCAAGAGAATCCTGAGATATATGCAAGGGACTGTGGATTATGGAATCAAGTATAAGAAAGGAAATGCAGCCTTGCTTATAGGTTTCTGTGACAGTGACTGAAGTGGGGATGAAGATGACATGAAATCAACATCAGGGTATGCTTTTAGCTTTGGCAGTGGTTCTTTCTCTTAGGCCTCTGTAAAGCAACAAAGTGTTGCACTCTCAACTGTAGAAGCCAAGTATATGAGTGCCTCTGAAGCTACTACTCAAGCCATATGGCTAAGATTTTTACTACATGATTTTGGTGAAGAATTTATTGAAACAACCCTCTTGATGTGTGACAACACATTTGCAAATACAATGTCAAATGACCCTGTATTTCATCAGAGGTTTAAACATATTAAGAGGTAATTCCATTTATCAGGGATGCAATCCAAGAAGGAATAATTGATTTACAATTTAGCAGGAGTAAGGAGCAATTGGCAGACATCTTCACCAAGGCTTTGGCTAAAGACAGATTCTATGCCTTGAGGGACAAGCATGGAGTAATTTCAGTCGAGACCTTAGAAGAAAGGAGTGTTGGTTGATTAAGGTCTAAATTGTCATTTCATTATTTGTAGCAAGCTGTTAGTTTGAGTAATTAGAGTTGTTAGTGATTAAGGGCTAAGATTAGATCAATTTGTAGTAGGCTCGAATGTGAGCAAGTCTCAAGATATCATAGGGGCTTGTAATGAATGGTTGGATAAGCTCATAGGCTCTCCTAGATTCTTTCTATTCCTAATGGTTATGTAAATGCTGGTGTGATGAAACGAGCACATGAAAAAGAGCATTTCAGCTCTCTCTATCCTTCCACACACTCTCTCTTAATCTTCTTTCTCTCTGTGCTAAATTATTGCAAATACACCATCAAATAGTTCAGATTCTAACAGTTCGCAACCATAGCTGCAACGACGGTTCAATGGATTATGCCTATCAATGGATTATGCCTATGAATAGATATTCAGCCTCAGCACTTGATCTTGCAACAACTGCTTACTTTTTACTTTTCCATGTAACAAGGTTGCCTCCTACAAACGTACAATACCCCGTTGTAGACTTACGATCAATAAAGTTACCAGCCCAATCAGCATCACAATAACCTATGATTTGAGTGTTCTCATTCTTCTTCATGATTATGCCACTACCCACTGAACCTTTTAGGTACCGAAGAATTCTTTTAACAAGATTAAAATGCTCCATCGTGGGAGAGCATAAATTGTCTAGCAATGCTCACTGAATAGGCTATGTCAGGCCTTGTAATACTCAAATATATCAACTTACCAACAAGTCGCTGATAATAGCTTATGTTTGGAAGTGATTGCCCCTCCAAGCTGAGTTTGAGCTTGATGTCAAGAAGTGTATAGACAAGTTTAGCATCACTCATGTTTGCTTCCTTAAGAAGGTCCAGAATATATTTCCGTTGGCAGAGAAAGAAACATTTGTGAAAGGTTGCCATTTCCATGCCAAGAAAATATCTCAATATTCGAAGATCTTTGATTGCAAAATGTTGTTGTAGTGAATGCTTAAGCTCCTTTATTTCTTCATGGTTGTCTCCTGTAATGATCAAATCATCTACATATACGAGGACTACCAATTTCCCAGCAGTTCATGTGCGCACGAACAATAAGGAGTCTATGTTGCTTCTTTTAAAACCAACAGTTGTAAGGACTGAACTGTATGAAGATTCCTCAGATGCAATGCTGTGGAGAGATTCATCTTCCACAGAAGTATTGGTGTCATCACTTGAAGCTGGTTGGTCAGTTGCAGTAGGGGACTTTGTGTGATGTGCAAGCACCATTGCATTAGATTGAGTGACTTCAGTGGTAAGTATCGTAGTCATTGGCAATGGAAAAAGGTCCAAGAAAAACTCCCCATGACTTGTACTATCCAGAGATTTGCTGTATTAAGGGTTAGTTTCATGAAATATAACATCCTTGGAAACAATTAATCTCTTAAGTTGTGGATTGTAACATTTGTATCCTTTTTGTGTGGACGAGTAACCAAGGAAAATACATTTGGTTGCCCTAGGATCTAGTTTGTCTCGATGCAAAGGCTAAACATGGACAAACCAAATGCATCCTAAGACCTTAAGGTGTGACAAGTCCACTTTTCTGTTTTTGACCATTTCCATTAGTGATTTGAACCCCAAAACCCTGCTAGGTAACTTGTTGATCAAGTAAGTTGCTGCCATAACTCTTTGAGACAAAAAACGTTTTGGTACATTCATTTCGAACATCAAGGCCCTAGTTTTTTCAATAAGATCTTGATTTTTTCTCTCAACAATACCATTTTGTTGGGGGTGTGCCAACACGACTAGTTTGATGCATGATGCCATTGTTGCTTAAATATTTAGTCATGACTTGGGACATGTATTCGGTGCCATTATCAGACCTTAGAGTTTTGATTTGAGAGGAAAAATGATTTTTAACAAGGTTATGAAAGTCCTTAAACACTTCCATCACTTCACTCTTTGATTTTAACAAATATAACCAAGTGGCTCTTTAATAATCATCAACAATGGTTATGAAAGATGAAATGCTCTAGACAAAGATGAACTTAGAGGTAGTCTAGTTACCTTTGACATATGGCAAGTTTCACAGTGAATTTGTTCTTTACCTAAGTTGGGAAACAAGGTTGACAAAACATGTTGAGAAAGGTGAGCTAGTGGCTGGTGCCACAAGGAATGATCTTGAATGAAGGCATGAATGGACTTAGACTTGGCTTGGAATCCTGAAAACCATCTAGGCAAAACCCCTCACCAATCTTCCTCTTGGTGACATAATCCTGAAAAATGAAATTTTCTAGTGAAAAAATGGCTAAACAGTTTAAGGAATTTGTGATTTTTCCTATAGAGAGAAGTTGAAATGGAAATGAAGGAACATATAAGGCCATAGAAGCCATTTGGTTTGATATCAAGTGAATTTTCCCTTTCTTACAATCCTAGCACCTTCACCATTAGCTACAGACACATGTGATGGTTTATGAAGTTTCTCAAATTTATGCAATTTTGACACTTGATTAGTCATATGATCTGGCACGTGAATCTACAACCCAAAAATCATGTAACTCATTGATTTTAAGAGCAGTTTTGAAAGCATTCACGATACCTTTCATGTCTTGTTGAGGTAAGTGATCATAACCGGCCAAAAAAACTTGCAAACTTGCCCAACAATGCAGTGGCACTTCCATCTTCATAATCAACAGCTTGATCTTCCCTTCCCTTCTTTTGTTGGAGATAGGCTGCAAACTCACTGTTCATGACTTTTCTTCTTAATTCCTGACATTGGATGGTTGCACAGATGCTAGTGAAGGATGGTAGCTCAGGATTCATGAGTATATGACTTCTCAAATCCTCATATTTTGAGCTTAAGCTAGATAGCAATTGATTTTTTTTTATCTTATTCAGTTCTTTTAAGAAGCACCATGGGATCAGTTGTGTGAGGTCTGTAGACATCTAGCTCATTCCACATGCTTCTCAGATAACCAGGATGTTGAACAAAAGTTTTACCTTCTTGTTGAATGTTAGAGATATCCTTTTTGAGTTGAAAGATCCATGCAGAGTTGTTTTGATTACCATACATCTCCTTCACAGTTGTCCAGAGAGTGAGAGATGACACGGAATAGTTGAAGATTTCAGCAATCTTCCTTTCCATGGAATTAAGCAACCATGACATAACCAATTGATCTTTACAAAGCCACCCTCCATATTCTGGAGAAGTAACTTCAGGAGTAGGATGACTGCCATCGATGAAACCAAGTTTGGATCTTTCACCAAGCGCAAGACAAACAGCTTTTGCCCACGGCAAATAATTAAACTCTTTCAGTAACACTCAACTGAGTCGTTGATTTGGATTGATATCCATTTCAGAGATGCAAGCAGAAGGAGAAGAAATGGTGCTTTCATCATCTGAATTCTCATCAACCATATTTTGGCGGAAGGAAATCACAACAACTGAGATATACAGAGACAGGTTCAGAAAGATGCCCGCTCTGATACCATGTTGACTTTTGAAGTTTATGATTTTGTATTATGGAAATCATAATGAGAGCAAACACATGTTACAAATATATAAGAGAGTTTGAGTGAGTTTCAAACTACACTCAACACTCAAGTTACCTATCCCAAATCTCCTTGAATCACGCTAAACAGCTGGCATAGGGAACATAACTAAGCTCCTTGGATTAAGGAGTTGACAACAAAATAAGACCCTTATACAAATTGATAAGAGCAAGAAGAAAATAAACGGCTATTAATTAGGTAAAACATTAATAGGGTTGACACAAACCCTATTACCCAGATAATACTGAGAAACCATAATCATGAGGAACCCTAAGTAACCAGAGGTATTTCAATAGATGGGAACAAGACTTGCAAGTTAGGACTCAATGAATTTGTTGATTTGAGCCATGAAGAATTTGTCCAACTACATACTGTATACATAAATCCCGTTGAACCGGCCTCACCCGTAGCTGTATATTTTAAGTATGAAAGCCTAAGTCATTCCGATGTTCCCTGTAGCGTCGACTGGAGGATGCATGGAGCTGTCACACCTATAAAGCACCAAGGACCCTGTGGTAACAGATCAACATTAAATGCTTTTATTTTAATATTTTTATTCATTCCTAAACTAGCATACGGTCGATTTTTGTTCCATGTTTAATCGATATTTGATCATATCAAATATTGATGATGTATCAAGTACTATAGACTTGCATTATTTTTTCTTGAACACATCACAATTTATCAATTTTGTAGTATCTATAGAAATTAATGTTGTTTTATACTATAGGCTCTTGTTGGGCATTCTCTGCAACGACAGATTTCGAAGGAATTGCCCAAATCAGAACAGGTCAGTTGATCTCATTGTCCGAACAGCAACATGGGGACTGTAGCAGATTTTATGGAAACAAAGGTTGCCATAGTGGTTATATGGAGTCTGACTTTACACACATACTAGGATGTCGAGAAATCGCAAGCGAAGCAGAAAACCTGTACCAGGCTACTGAGGGAAGATGTAATACTAACAATCCCAAATCACGATGTCATCATCGTTGGCTACTTGAGAATTCGCAGTAGATGCTGTTCCTCCTGGAGGTCTTTGTGGCCTTGCCACAATGGCTTCCTACCCGATTATAGACTGATCTTATCGGCTTCACCTATACAGGCTATAATTAAGTGTGTAGATTTAATTTTCTTCTTAATATTGAAAAACGTTTGTCGATAAAAAGTGCTTGTATTTTGTATCTGATTGGCGAAACTAAAGCGGCATTATTTTTTTTTAAAGAATATAATTAAGTGCATAGATTTAATTTTCTTCTCATTTAGATATGGAATTTCATATTGGTCTTGCCCTTGATGAAGTTGAAACTGGATATACGTTAGAGCACTCTTTTATCAATTTGTTTAGCTTTAAAATAATATAGAAGATCTGCAAACCTCAAGACAATTTGTTTTGAAAAGGACACTTAATTACGTCTTGAACACTATGACTGCTAGTTTGGCAACTATGAGTTGGAGGGCCACTGCATTGGCTTACAATTGTTAGTACTTCAACTTCAAAAATCAACATCACAGACTGGAATGGAATTTTTACGTTCAAATTTGGCGAGCTGCCGGCAATTCCTTATGAACACGGTACGCAGTTAAGGACTGCAGACTGTGAACCTTGTAGTCATCAGTACCATTCATGGAGACTAAAAGCCAAAGGGCAGAAACTCCGGCAGATAGACAAGGACCTGTTGTCATCAGATCAATAGACAACCCTTGATTCATCGATTGATTGAGTCATTCGAACTTCTTTGTGTGGAAACTCCCCGGAGAAAACAAAACAAGAATCGCATTCAGGCCGGACTGATTGATAATAAGTTAACTGTGGTCATCAACTTGAGAAATATTCCTGGAAATTTGGCTTCAACAGTGAGAACGACCTGTTGAAGGCTGTGTCTCCCTGACGAGCCAAGGAGCTGTCACACCAGTAAAAAACGAAGGTTTATGTGGTAATGTGATCTTATTTTTCGTTACTTTCACTTAATGCATATATTGATCGCACAAATACCAAAATAATTTATAATCAACAAGCACATGAATATTATTTGTCAGCATCTACAGGAAGTTGCTGGGCCTTTTACAGCAGTGGGAACTGCTGAGAGGATTATACAAATCAAAACTGGTCAAATGATCTCAATGTTGGAGCAGCAACTAGTGGACTGTTCCAAAAAGGGTGTAAATCAAGCTTGCATAACTGGTAGCATGACCGATGCCTTTGATTACATAATAGTCAAACGGTATTACCCGCGAAATAAATTATCAATACAATTTAAACGGTACTCTGGTTGGGTATTCTCTGAAGATTGTGGGTTTTATCTCGACCATGGTGTTACAGTCGTTGGTTAATGTTTTTATTCGTACCTAAACTAGCATACTGTCGATATTTGGTCCATACTTTATCGATCTTTGACCATATCAGATACTAACGATGTATCAAGTACTATAGAATTATTATTTTTTCTTGAACGCATCACGATTTCTCAGTTTTGTAGTATGTATTGAAAATATTGTTGTGTTATATACTGTAGGCTCTTGCTGGGCATTCTCTCCAGTGGCAGCTTTGGAAGGAATTGTCCAAACCAGAATAGGTCAATTGATCTCCCTGTCCGAGCAGCAACTTGTGGACTGTAGCAGATTTTATGGAAACAAGGGCTTCCGTGGTGGTTATATGGAGTTTGCCTTTAAATACATACCAGAAAACCGTTGAATCGCAAGGAAGAGATTACCCGTACCAGGCTACTGAGGGAAGCTGTGACAATAACAACTTAAACTGGCATGCTGCCAGTGCCTGGATAATTGGTAGCAAATAGTGCCTCACAACAGTGAAAAAGATCCAATGAAGCCCATGTCTGTGCGACCTGTCTCAATTGGCATTCATGTCACTTGGCCGGACTTTAGGTTTTACAAAAGCTGGGTCTTCATAGCGTAAAAGGTTGTGGGATAGTCCCAAACCACGATGTCACCTTTGTTGGCTACATGAGAATTCTCAAGAGATGCTGGTCCTCCTGGAGGTCTTTGTAGCCTTGCTACAATGGCTTCCTACCCAATTATATATTGGTCTTCTCGGCTACACCTATACAGGGTATAATTAAGTGTGCCGATCCAAAAGTGCTTGTACTTTGTATCAATTGGCATAACTAAAGACGGATTTAAGTTTATTTTTTCGAATAGAGTATAATTATGTGCGTAGATCTAATTTTCTACTAATTTTGATGTGGAATTTTATCTCAAAATACCTCAATTCTCTAGACTTTAATTGAAATTTCATATAGCTCTTGCACTTGATGAAGTTGAAACTTGAAATGCATTAGAGCACTTTTTATCAAGCAGTCGAGCATAAAATTAATTTAGAAGATCGGCAAACCTCAAGAGAACTAGTTTTAAAAAGGACACTTAATTACCCCCAAGAACACTATGACTGCTAGTTGGAGGGCAACTGCATCGACTTACCATTGTTAACTTGGAATTCAAATCTAAAGAACGAATTTTCGTACCCCGCTTACTTACCTTTGACTAAATTCATAACCCCAGCTGCAACGGCGGTTTGATGAATTATGCCTTTGAATATAAAAAGCGAAAGGAGCAAGTAGCAATACTAACATGGAAAACGAGCTTGCTTCCCAGATAACTGGTTATGGAACGTGCCTTCCACAGTGAAAACGACCTCTTGAAGGCTGTGTCTCCCTGACGAGCCTTTCAGTTTTACTAAGATGGATAACCGACAATGAGTTCTTGAACAATACAGAAGGTATCATGAGAAATAAGTTTGAAATTCTGCCATTGTTCACAAGAATAGGCTGTTAAACATCATTACATTACATTACATACCACTGCACTTACCTAATAAACTGAATATGAAAAAGGCACAATCAGGCACGTTTTCCACAGTTGGAATTGCTTTTCGTGCAGAGGACCTTCCGCCCCTTAGCACGTTGGCGCTTCATCATTGCTCTCCCGCCAGTTGTTCTCATGCGGCAACGGAATCCATGAGTTTGAACCAAGGATTTCCTGGACCTACTTCTCTTGATTAGACACAGGGCAGCCTTCCCGGTCCTCACCACTAAGCCACAGCCTCTTCTTCTTCTAACCTCCACACTAGAGCTCGAATCCAAGCCCAAAGATAAACCTTCAAATCAAAAACCAAGTTCTAATCAATTCAAGGCCCGACTAAATATCGTTTAACTAGCTCTTCAGCTTAATTTTCAGAAACCAAAAAAGACACCGACTTGTTTCATTACCATGGAAGTACTTACATTGCTAAAACTACGGAAATCGTAAGCAAGAAATTTACTTTTATGAAGTTAGAGTACCTAACAAGACAAAAAAACCGAGCAGAATTTAAGTAAACAATGGAATGTGAAATGTACAACCTATTAGCTTATCAAATTCAACCCAAATGAATCAACAAAAATAAAACACACCAAAATTTAAGCCACAAAAACCCTACATTTCAACTTAGAGACAAATTTCAATGAAAAAGCATCTTAGGAAAAAAGAACAAACACCCATTTCCCAAAATCGCCCAAAAAATAGTAATAATACTTCAACCATCCATTTTTTATCCAGAGTAACAGTAAAACAATTGAAGGTAAATTACCTGAGAAGGCGGAAATGGAAGCAAAAGAGGTGAAAGAGATGAAGGAGCAGTGAAGCAACGGGGAACAAGCGGTGGCGCCACCGCTGAGAGACATAGAGCTCTTCCTAGTTGTGGAGCTAGTGAGGAATGTGAGAAAAGCATAGGGTATGGAGGATCGAGTGGAAAGGTACGGCGACCACTGACACACCCCGACCTTGATATTCCCCAAATACCAGGATAGACACGTGCTGGCCGACACCTGAGGGTGACGAAAGCCATTAATTGATATAAAAGCTAAGAATAAGAAATAAATAAGGGTTAGAAATTTAAATACAATGAACTAACAATTTAGGAACGTGTTCAGAGCATACAACTAAACCTAATCACTAAAAAGAATTAAGATAAAATTGAATGAATAAAAGAGTGGGTCCTACATCGAAAAGATCTGAAGATGCTGCTGCGGAAGTGCCTTCACGCCGGGATTAGGTGCCTTGATTCTAAGTCCTGAATGGGGACGCAAAACAAAGGTGAGTGGACCAACTTTATATATATATATATATATAAAATAATAATAAAACAGTTATCAAAATACTAACCCCCACAGTTTATATAATGAAAACTACTAGCATAATAAATGATGGATTTAATAAAAATCCTAGCATGCCAAAAATATCTCAAAAGCCATATCTCGCGGAAAAACATCGCGGAAATCAAAACAGTAAACGTCTCATAAATCGTCTCGTAAACGCGGTGTGCTGCTAGTAAGATCACCGAATAATTATAACTCCCGGCCCAATGCCTGCACCTAAGTCTCTGCGCCCGTAGCTAGAGATAACTACCACCCGGCCCAATGCCTCTTCATGTCCCTCAGCCCGTAGCTAGGGATTATTTCTCCCGGCCTAAATACCAACACCAGATCCTCGCCCCAGGTGGCATAGTGTCCACTAGGTACGCAAAATGTTACGCCTCTCGTAAATACCACTTCATAGCGTAGGTTATCGAGCATCGTCTATACTATAAAGAGGGGTTCAAAACATGTTCTAGCATCCTATCGTCATCTATCAGATAGTCTACCAGTTCATGGTTTTTATAGAAAATACGATATATCAAAATATAGCTCAATATAGGCCACAATTAATTCCTCACCAAAACACGAGACGATAATCAATATATTAAATCAACCAGCTTCACATAAATCAAATCATAAATCTGTAGGCATGCTAATCATTTATGCAATTAAATTATCAAATCATGTAATTTTAGAAGGGGTCCACTCACAGTACTTAGCCGCCAAAAGCTGCGCCACTAGCGAAGACGGAAACGTCACAATAATTGCCCCTAAGCACATAAATAGCACATTTAGTCAAACTCTACTTAAACGATTGAATTTGGGAAAACGCACATTGAAAACGGATTCAGAACGTTGAATTACCCTAAGAAGGGTCCCGGACGAAAACCCGAAAAGTCAACCCTAAAGTCAACGTTGACCGGGGGTTAACGGTCAAATTAGGTCTAATGGGTTTTAGGCTTGAAATCCGGATTAGGATTTAAGTTAAATAGGATTAGGATTTATTGGGCTTTTAGGGCTCTAAGGGTTTTGGGTTAAAAGGGTTTTAGGATGAGAATTGAGGTTTGGGCTTAAGCCCAAACATATACACTCCACCAAAACACACACACACAAAGCACAAGGCCTTAAGGCCTCACAAAAATAAACAGGGCTTTAAGCCCTTTAAGTCCAAACCGGCCCAGGGCCAAATTAAACTAGGGCCCGAGCCCTTATGGGTTTTAAAACCAAATAACAAAACATAAAAAACTAAAGGGGCTAGGGTTTTGGGCTTAAGACAACACGGGCCTAAGGTCCGAGGGAGAGGGAAAGGCCGGGTGGCCTGTTGCCAAGGAAGAAGAAGGCCGGAAATTAGGCCGGAAAACCACCTAACTTTAAACGGCCATAACTTTATCACTACTCAACGAAATCAAGCGAGAAAAACGAAAGTTGTAGCCCTCGAAGAGACGAAATTGAGTGAAACAAAAAGGAAAGTTGTAGTACTCAGGGAGACGAAGAGATTGATACCTTGCACGCCGGCCAACTCGCCGTTGTTTGGCCGGAAATGGCCTCGAAAGTCGCCGGTCTGCGTCGGAGCTCGTGTACGAGGCTTCCAGGTTCGATTTCCAAGATACGAAGACTATGGTTGAGTTCGTAGCAACGAGATAAAGATGATGGTGATGTCTGTTGGTAAGAAAACTCTCGGAGGGGTTGAGATAGAGAGGGCCGAGAGAGTTACGGGAGAGGGAAAAAGAAAATGAAGGAGAGAAGAGAGAGAGACCGGGAAACACCAAAAAAATCATAAGGTGGGCCCCACGTGGCTCACCATTTAAGAACTAAAACAATTTTAAAAGGAAGATAAATTCCCAAACTTGATGAAAATACAAAAATACCATTTATGTACAGTAAATCCCGGGACGAGTTGTTACAACCACGCTGCTAAAACTGAAGCCATTATTCCTTTTGCCTTCTTCTGCATACGGTCGGTTTTTGGTCCATATTTAATTAACATTTGATCATATCAGATATTGACGATGTAGACTTACATTATTTTTTCTTGAACACCTCACGATTTATCAATTTTGTAGTGTGTATAGAAATTAATGTTGTGTTATATACTATAGGCTCTTGCTGGGCATTCTCTATAGTGGCAGATTTTGAAAGAATTGCCCAAATCAGAACAGGTCATTTGATCTCACTATCCAAACAGCAACATGGGGACTGTAGCAGATTTTATGGAAACAAAGGCTGCAATAGGGGTTATATGGAGTCTGACTTTAAATACATACTAGGATGCCAAGGAGTCACAAGCGAAGCAGAAAACCTGTACCAGGCTACTGAGTGAAGATGTGATACTAACAACTCAAACTGGCAGGCAGCAAGTGCCCGGATTACTGGTAGCAAATGGTGCTCCGCAACAGCAAAAGCTATCTAATTAAGGCCTTGTCCATGCAACCAGTTTCAATTGGCATTCATGTCACCTGGCCGGACTTTTGGTTTTACAAAAGCGAGGTATTCAAGGCCATAGAAGGTTGTGGGACAGTCCCAAACCACATTGTCACCATCGTTGGCTACATGAGAATTCTCAGGAGATGCTAGTCCTCCTTGAGGTCTTTGTGGCCTTGCCACAATGGCTTCCTACCCGATTGTAGACTGATCTTATCAGCTTTACCTATACAGGCTATAATTAAGTGTGTAGATTTAATTTTCTTCTTAATATTGAAAAATGTTAGTCGATAAAAAGTGTTGTATTTTGTATCTGATTGGCGAAACTAAAGACGGCATTATTATTAATTTTTTTAAAGAATATAATTAAGTGGATAGATTTAATTTTCTACTCATTTAGGTATGGAATTTTATCTCAAAATACCTCAATTCTGACTTTATTTAGAATTTCATATTGTTCTTGCACTTGATGAAGTTGAAACTGGATATTCGTTACAGCACTTTTTATCAATTTGTTTAGCTTTAAAATAATATAGAAGATCTGCAAACCTCAAGACAATTTGTTTTGAAAAGGACACTTAATTACGTCTTGAACTCTATGACTGCTAGTTTGGCAATCACAGACTGGAATGGAATTGTTACGTTCAAATTTGGCGAGCTGCCGGCAATTCCTTATGAACACGGTACGTGGTTAAGGACTGCAGACTGTGAACCTTGTAGTCATCAGTACCATTCATGGTGACTAAAAGCCAAAGGGCAGAAACTCCGGCAAATAGACAAGGACCTGTTGTCATCAGATCAATAGACAACCCTTGATTTATCGATTGATTGAGTCATTCGAACTTCTTTGTATGGAAACTCCCCGGAAAAAACAAAACAAGAATTGCATTCAGGCCAGACTGAATGATAATAAGTTAACTGTTGTCATCAACTTGAGAAATATTCCTGGAAATTTGGCTTCAACAATGAATTTTCATACCCCGCATGCTTACTTTAGATTAAATTCAAACCACAGCTGCAACGGCGGCTTGATGGAATATGCCCTTTAATAGATAAAGCAAAACAGAAGAGCAAGGACATATCATGTAATACAGAGTGTCGACCATATCGCCAACAAAATCCGATCCAATGCAAAACCACATATCATGTAATACAGTGTGTACCTAAACCAGCAAATAACTAAGGAGATGAACGCGAGTGCTAGAAGTTAAACTACTAAAAGTAGAAAGAAAGGACAATGAAACTCAATTGTGTTCTTTCCTGCATTTGATCAATATATATATATATATATGTATGTATATATATGAAAATTTTGTTCTTGGTTCTTCATATCTAGTAGCGATCACTCATTTAATTAAAGCCATTTGTCCCATAGCTCTATTCAGCTTATAATTGTTATTAATGGCTTTGATACTTAAAATGGAAATCCCTAATTGCCTTGTTCATAGTGTGTTAATGGCGACTTGGGCGTCTACAGCCTCATCCATCACGTTGAATGATGCTTCAATTGCGAAGAAACATGAGCAATGGATGGCTGAGTATGGACGCATTTACGCAGCTAGTTTGGCAACTCTGAGTTGGAGGGCAACTGCATTGGCTTACCATTTTTAGTGCTTGAACTTCAAAAATCAGCATCAAAGACTGCAGTCCTTAACACAGTACGTATGCGGTTAAGGTCTGCAGACTGTAAAACTTGTAGTCATCAGTACCATTCACGGCGACTAAAACCCAAAGGGCAGAGACTCCGGCAAATGGACAAGGACCTGTAGTCATCAGATCAATAGACAACCCTTGATTCATCGATGGATTAAGTCATTCAAACATCTTGGTGTGGAAACTCCTAGTAGAAAACAAAACAAAAATCGCATTCAGGCGAGACTGATTGATAATAAGTTTACTGTGGTCATCAACTTATGAAATATTCCTAGAAATTTGGCTCCTAGAAACAAAATCATGAGGGCGTGGCCGGGGCCCAAAGCAGACAATATCATGTTATAGCGGAGTCGAGACTGGGATGTGTCACTAATATTAATGGACTAGGCCCAAAATACCAAACATTAAAATAAATCTAAATAATAATATTTTTCAACAAGGTGCACATACAGGAGGTTCTGGTCGTCTTCTATATAAACCCACGATAGCATGCTTGCTTCTTCACACCAATCGCAACTTGAAATCAA